AAAGAGTGGATTTAAACTATACCCTGGAAAAAAATGGACTTAACATACACAAAACATTTCATTCAACAACTACAGAACACAATTCTACTCAACAGTGTATGGAACTTTCTCCAAGACAGACCGTATGATAGGTTATAAAATAAGCCTCAACCATTTAAGAAAATTGAAATTATATCCAAGCACTCTCAGACCACAGTAGAATAAAACTGGAAATCAACTCCCAAAGGAAACTTCAAAACCATGTAAATATGCGGAAATTAAATAACCTGCTCCTGAATAAGCACTGGGGCAAAAACCAAATCAATATGAAAATTAAGAAATTCTTCAAACAGAATGACAATAATGACACAACCTATCAAAACCTCTGGGACACAGCTAAGGTGGTGCTAAGAGGAAAGTTCATAGCCCTAAATGCTTACATCAAAAAGTCTGAAAGAGCACAAACAGACAATCTTAGATCACACCACAAGAAACTAGAGAAACAAGAACAAACCAAACCCAAACTCAGAAGAAAAACCAGAAAATAACCAAGATCAGAGCAGAACTAAATGAAATTGAAACAAAAAAATACAAAAGATAAATGAAACAAAAAGCTGCTTCTTTGAAAATATAAATAAAATTGATAGACCATTAGCAAGATTAACCAAGAAAAGAGAGAAAATCCAAATAACCTCACTGAGAAATGAAACAGGAGATAACTGACACCACTGAAATACAAAAAACATTCAAGACTACTATGAACACCTCTACACACATAAATTAGAAAACCTATAAGAATAAATTCTTGTAAAAATACAACCCTCTTAGCTTAAATCAGGAAGAACTAGATACCCTGAACAGACCAATAACAAGCAGTGAGATTAAAATAGTAATTTAAAAAATTAGCAATAAAAAGTCCAGGACCAGACAGATTCAAAGCAGAATTCTACAAGACATTCAAAGAATTGGTACCAATCTTCTTGACACTATTCCACCAGATAGAGAAATAAGGAACCCTCCCTAATTCATTCTATTAAGTCAGCATCACCCTAGTACCAAAATCAGGAAAAGACACAACTACGAAAGAAAACTGCAGGCCAATATCCTTGATAAACACTGATGCTAAAATCCTTAAAAAAAATACTAGCTAACCGAATCCAACAACATGTCAAAAAGATAATCCACCATGACAAAGTGGGTTTCATAGCAGGAATGCAGGGATGGTCTGACACACACAAGTCAACAAATGTGATACACCACAAAAATAGAATTGAAAACAAAAATAGCATGATCATCTCAATAGACACAGAAAAAGCATTCGACAAAATCCAGCATCCCTTTGTAAGTAAAACTCTCAGCTTGGTCTGGCGCACGGTGGCTCACGCCTGTAACCCCAGCACTTTGGGAGGTGGAGGCAGGCAGATCACCTGACATCAGGAGTTCAAGATCAGCCTGACCAATATGATGAAACCTCGTCTCTACTAAAAGTACAAAAATTAGCAGGGCATGGTGACATGTGCCTGTAATCTCAGCTACTTGGGAGGCTGAGACAGAAGAATCATTTGAACCCAGAAGGCAGAGGTTGTGGTGAGCCGAGATCGTGCCATTGCACTCCAGCCTGGGCAACAAGAGTGAAACTCTGTCAAAACAAACAAACAAAACCTCTCAGGAAAGTTGGCATACAAAGAATAGCTTAAGGTAATAAAAGCTATCTACAATAAACCCACAGCCAACATAATACTGAATGAGGAAAAGTTGAAAGTATTCTCTCTGAGAATGGAAACAAGACTAGGATGCCCACTCTCACCAACATAGTCCTGGACGTCCTCTCCAACATAGTCCTGGACATCCTCCAGAGTTATCCAGAAAAAGAAATAAAGGGCATCCAAGTCAGTAAACAGGAAGTCAAACTGCCCCTGGTTGCTGATGATATGAACATTTACCTCGAAAAGCCTAAGGACTCCTCCAGAAGACTCCTACAACTGATAAAAGAATTCAGCAAAGTGTCTGGATACAAGATTAATGTACACAAATCAGTAGCTCTTTTATTCTTTTATTCACTAACAGAAACCAAATGGAGAATTAAATCAAGAACTCCCCTTTTACAATAGCTGAAAAAAAAGAAAAAGAAAAACTTAGGCATATACCTAATGAAGGAGTCAAAAGACCTCTAAAAGGAAAACTACAAAACACTACTGAAAGAAATCATAGATGACATCAACAAATGGAAACACATTCCATGCTCACGGATGGGTAGAATCAATATTGTGAAAATGATCATACTGCCAAAAGCAATCTACGAATTCAGCACAACTCCCATCAAAATACTACCATCATTCTTCACAGTTAGAAAAAACAATTCTAAAATTCATATGGAACCAAAAAAGGGCCCACAGAGCCAAAGAAAAACTAAGCAAAAAACAAATCTGGAGGCACCACACTACCTGATTTCAAACTATACTACAAAATCATAGTGTCCAAAACAGCATGGTATTGGTATAAAAAGAGACACACACACCAATGGAACAGAGAATCCAGAAATAAACTGAAATAATTACAGCCAAGCAATCTTCAAAAAAGTAAAAATACATAAAGTGGGGAAAAGACACCCATTTCAACAAATGGTGTTGGGATAATTGGCTAGCCACATGTAGGAGAATAAAACCGGATCCTCATCTCTCACCTTATTAAAAAAAAAAAAAAAAAATCAACACAAGATGGATTAAGGACTTAAACCTAAGACCTGAAACTATAAAAATTCTGGAAGATAACAATGGAAAAACCCTTCTAGACATTGGCTAGGCAAAAATTTCATAACAAAAAACCCAAAAGCAAATGCAGTATAAACAAAGATAAATAGCTGGGACTTAATTAAATAGAGAGCTTTTGCATGGCAAAAGGAACAGTAAACAGACAACTCACAGAGTGGGAGAAAATCTTCACAATCTATACATCTGACAAAGGACTAATATACAGAATCTACAAGGAACTCAAACAAATCAGTAAGGAAAAAATCAAAAACTGTGCTAAAGATAATTCTCAAAAGAAGATATACAAATGGACAAAAAACATATGAAAAAATGCTTAACATCACTATTGATCAGGGAAATGAAAATCAAAACCACAATGCAAAACCACCTTATTCCTGCAAGACTAGTCATAATCAAAAGATCAAAAGACTGTAGATGTTGGCGTGGATGCGGTGACTAGGGAACACTTTGTAAAAAGTAAAGTAGAGGTTCCTCTTCAAAGTTTTTTCCCCCCATCTACTTAGGAATAAATGGTAACTTTTCTTAGAAGCAAAATTTATTCAAAGACCTGTACTCCTAAATATTTGCCCTGGTATGCTTATAGTGGTCCACGCAAGCATCAGGTCATAGCCCGTTCCTCTTCTTTATTTAAAAGTGGTTTTACCTTTCTCAGCATTCCACAAGTTACTCACTCCTTTCTTTGTTCTCCTTTACCTTTGCCTCTTTTAAAAAGTTCTAAGTTGCTAGCTAATCAGGACAAATATAGAATGTGAGGTCCCATTCCAGCCAACGGAAACCGGACACAACAGTAGGGTGGAAGCGTCAGGTTATAAATGACCCTGTCTCCTTTGTTCATTGTACTTTCATGGCAAAACTGCTGGCAAGTGTGCACTTTCTGCAGGAAGTAAAAATGGCCTTATTAAACAAATTAAATTTATGTTCAAGTGCTATTTCTTTATGGCACTAAGGAATAAACATTTCAAACAACTTCTACACTGCTGGTGGGAATGTAAACTAGTACAGCTGCAATGAAAAACAGTGTAGATATTCCTTAAAGAACTAAAAGTAGAACTACCATTTGATCCAGCAATCCCACTACTGGGTATCTATCCAGAGAAAAACTAGTCATTATTTGAAAAATATACTTGCACATGCATGTTTCCAGCAGCACAATTCACAACTAAAAAAATCACAGAACCAACTGAAATGCCCAGCAATCAATGAGTGGATACACACACACACACACACACACACACACACACACACATCCCGGACTACTACTCAGCCACAAAAAGGAATGAATTAACAGCATTTGCAATGACCTGGATGAGACTGGAGACTGTAATTCTAAGTGAAGTAACTCAGGAATGGAAAACCAAACATCATATGTTCTCACTGATATATGGGAGATAAACTATGAGGACACAAAAGCATAAGAATTATACAATGAACTTTGGGGACTTTGGGGAAAGAGTGGCGGGGGGAGATAAAAGACAACTTATATGGTGGAGTGTATCCTGCTCAGATGATGGTTGCACCAGGATCTCACAGGTCACCACTTAAGAACTTATTCATCTAACCAAATACCACATGTACCCCAATAACTTAAGGAACAGCAAAATTAAAAATATATATATTCTTATAATTACAGACCAGCTCACATAATACTTCTAAAACTATTACACAGGTCAGGCATACTGGCTCACCAGGACTTTCAGAGGCCAACGTGGGTGGATCACCTAAGGTCAGGAGTTGAAGACCAGCCTGACCAACATGGTGAAACCTCATCTCTACTAAAAATACAAAAATTAGCTGGGCATGGTGGCGGGCACCTGTACTCCCAGCTACTTGGGAGGCTGAGGCAGGAGAATTGCTTGAACGTAAAAGGCAGAGATTACAGTGAGCTGAGATCGCACCATTGAACTTCAGCCTTGGTGACAGAGCAAGACTCTGTCTCAAAAATAAATAGATAAACAAACAAGCAAACAAGTAACAAAAAAAAAAAAAAACAAAGTTGTGGGTCTAGCACGAGTACCAGTCAAGTTAAAACATAGAATTTGCATGGGGAGATTCTGAATCATAAACCCAAAGACTGTACAGTAATAAATTCAACACAAAGCAAATAGCATGAATTTGGTTTCAGCATTTTTGAAAATTTTTGTTTTCTAGTAAATTAGACACCTTATTAAAATAATTTATTTTGTTCCAGTATTGCTTTTTGCTGCTAAAAACTTTCAAACCTGTACTCACACAAACATACTTACTCCATAATTTATTTACACCTAAGGTTTATCTTTAACAGATATATATATATTTAATTTTATGTAAATCAATTCTAAGAGTCCATATGTGCTTGCGGGCAGAGGCCACATGTTCAAAGAAAAACATATTAAAATTTTTAAAAATATTTATTCAGAACTCAGAAATGTATGGATTTTACATGTTTGTATATAATTTTTTATTATGACCATAAAAATTACCCTGTAGTCAATAACAATTGTAAATTTAAAAATAACTAAAACAGTAGAATTGAATTCCTTGTAGTAAAAAGAATAAATGCTAGAGGTAATGGATATCTCATTTCCTCTAATGTGATTATTATATAGAGTATACCTGCATCAAAATATACCATAAATGGCATACATATATACACATATGTATCCACAAAAATTAAGAAAAATAAATTTAAATCTGAAAATAAGAATAAAAATTTAACCTATAGGAACAATATTCTTTAACTTATTGGCAATTTAAAGTCACTGGCAAAAAAGATTGCTAGAGATGACAGTCCATTATCTTACAAAACAGTGTATTGTTATCATCTTTTACCTACATCCTTGAGTAAGGTGGAATAGGTTAATGTTAGTGGCATAAGAACACTTCATTGAATTCACAATAGTATTTAACATGTTAAAAATGTTGAATTGAAAAGCTAAGTTCACACATAATTTATAATTTAAAAATATACTGCATATTATTCCATAGAAGTACAATTAATAAAATAACATATAACTTAATTTTAACTAAAATTAAGAATGTTTTTCATTCATAATGAACACCTACCTCATGCATCACTCAATATTATAAGTTAACCACAAAGAGCCTCTCTACTTAAATTTTCATCATGCATCTTACATTTTAATGTCCTTATCTTTTCATAGAAAAGATCATAAATAATGCCTAATAAAAAAGAATCTCATCTATTTTATGCAGCAACAATTAGTCACATGCTTTCACATGTGAATACACTAGGAATGATGAAACAGCATGAAGTAATTTAACAGTTCAACACATTTTTCACTTTTTAAAAAATCTGTATTTTTTTAAAAGTACTTTGTAAAGTTATATACAAATAATGTTTACACAAATTTTAGTTTGTATTATTTTCTACACTCAGCACTCAGATTTAGTGTAATGTCTAATGTTTGAGCACCCTAGATATTTCTACTGTGAATTGTTCCCTGATATATAGACTTAATTTTGGATTGAGTATCTTTCATATTTAATACATCTACAAAACTATATTTTAGATGAACACCTCAGTGGTTTATAATTTGTAGTTTTTGAAAAAATGTTTTTCCAAATTCATTACACTTGCAGGGTTTTCTTCAATATAAACTCCCTGATGTTCAACACAATTTTAACAACTGCCTGAGGGTTTTTCTCTAGTACAAAATGTGTACAATACGATCTGTGATGCAAGTAAAGATATTACAATCCTCTTCATATTTGTAATGCTTTCTCAAAATAAATACTCTTCTATACTTTAAAAACATATTTTCTGATCTTCTGAGAGTAGATTTTAATGCTTTTATTTAGTGTGAACTCTATGATTTTGAGTAAGATGTGGGCAGGCATTAATGGCTTTTTTACTTTGCCTATATTTGTACATTTCTTCTCAAGTATAAATGCTTTCCTGTGCAATAAGGTGTGAGCATTGGTTCGAAGCCTGGCCACATTGTTCACACTGGTAGTTCTCCAGTATGAATTATCTTACCTACAATCAAGTGTGAATATCATTTAAAGGCTTTGTCACATTCTTCACATTTCTAGGATTTTTCAGCAGAATGATTTTCTTTAAAGTTTGAGGTATTGTCAAAAGCATCAGCACCTCTCTCAGGTTTGTAGTTTCTCTCCGGTATGAATAATCTTATATCTACTAAGAATTGAGGACTTTTATAGACTTTGGCACATTATTCATACTTGTAATATTTCTCTCCAATATGAGTTATCCTATCTGTGGTGAGGTAGGGCTGGTTAACAGCTTTGCCACATTTTCCCCATTTATAGGGTTGCTCTTCAGTATGAATTCTCTTATGTTTAGTTAGAGTTGAGGACCAGAAAAAGGCTTTGCCACATTCTTCACATTTGTAGGGTTTTACTCCAGTATGAATTACCTTATGTTTAGTAAAAGTTGAAGACCGGCTAAAAGATTTGCCACATTCTTCACATTTGTAGGGTTTCTCTCCAGTATGAATTCTCTTATGGTTAGTAAGGATTGAAGACTGCTTAAAGGCTTTGCCACATTTCTCACATTGGTAGGGTTTCTCTTCAGTATGAATTATCTTATGTTTAGTAAGAGTCGAGAACCAGTTAAAGGCTTTGCCACATTCTTCACATTTGTAGGGTTTCTCTCCAGTATGAATTATCTTATGCGTAGTAAGGGTTGAGGATTGGCTAAAAGCTTTGCCACATTCTTCACATTTGTAGGGTTTCTCTCCAGTGTGCATCCTCTTATGTCTAGTTAGGGTTGAGGACCATATAAATGTCTTGCCACATTCTTCACATTTGTAGGGTTTCTCCCTAGTATGAATTCTCTTATGTTTAGTAAGGGTTGAGGACCAGATAAAAGCTTTGCCACATTCTTCACACTTGTAAGGTTTCTCTCCAGTATGAATTATCTTATGTGTAGTAAGATTTGAAGATCGATTAAAACCTTTGCCACATTCTTCACATTTGTAGAGTTTCTCTCCAACATGAATTATTTTATGTGTAGTAAGAGTTGAGAGTTGCTTAAAAGCTTTGCCACATTCTAAACATTTGTAGCGTTTCTCTCCTGTATGAATTATCTTATGTGTAGTAAGGGTTGAGGATTGGCTAAAAGCTTTGCCACATTCTTCACATTTGTAGGGTTTCTCTCCAGTGTGCATCCTCTTATGTCTAGTTAGGGTTGAGGACCATATAAATGCTTTGCCACATTCTTCACAGTTGTAGGGTTTCTTTCTAGTATGAATTCTCTTATGTTCAGTAAGGGTTGAGGACCAGATAAATGTTTTGCCACATTCTTCACACTTGTAAGGTTTCTCTCCAGTATGAATTATCTTATGTGTAGTAAGATTTGAGGGTCGATTAAAAGCTTCACCACATTCTTCACATTTGTAGAGTTTCTCTCCAGAATGAATTATTTCATGTGTAGTAAGGGTTGAGAGTTGCTTAGAAGCTTTGCCATACTCTTCACATTTGTAGGGTTTCTCTTCAGTATAAATTTTCCTATGATTAGTAAGGGTTGAGGACCAATTAAAGGTTTTTCCACATTCTTTACATTTGTAGGACATCTCTCTATGATAAATGCTTTTGTGTTGGGTTTTATGTGAAAGCATGCAAAATGGTTTGACACATTTTTTACCTTTAGAAGATTTCTTTTCAGTATGTCTTATCTTATGTCTGTTTGAATTTAAAAATTTAAATAAGACTTTCAAATATTTTTCACTTTGAAATACTTTGCTCTGGGCAGTTGTGAAACACTGGTTATGTCCATTATAACCTTCTTTGTTCACCTTACACTCATCCACACTTTTATAGCCTTTTCTTAACTGTAAATTCTCAGGTCCATATTTTTCATATCTTCTCGGTATTACTTTTTGAAAAGAATCATCCATGCCCTGCTCTGGCCAAAGGTCTTGAGCAAAAAGAGGACAGATACCTGAAAAAAATAAATAAATAAATAAATTACTCCATTTACTAGACTCAGATGAATATAGTTTTAAAATCTTACCTATAAAATTATACAAACTACATAAACAATATGGCACTGCAAAATACCACAGGCCCTAATTCTTTCATAGACATAAATGCAACAAAAACATACAGACCAAAACACATCTGTGGAAAAGTTATAAATGAGTCAAGTGTGTGCAGTGTCCCAGGTGAGCACAATGCAAAAGAAACACGTGGAAGAAAAAGAAAAGTCTGTTAAATTTACTCAACACATCTTTTCCTGGTTCCCACTATAACATAGTGCCTTTACAACTAAATTGCCAACTCTTGGTTTCTGTTTTAAAAGAAAGGTAAAATACTGGCACATTCATTGTCATTTCTGGCTTTTAGTGGTTTTTCCTGACACTGGTTTCTGTCTCTCATGACATAAAGTACTGAAAGAAATGGTGGTATATTTTGGAATGAGAGTTTGAGTCTGCTGAGACCAAAGAAAAATGTTACATACAGCAGCAGACAGACTGCAGTGCCACAGAAATGGAACAGGTGTAGCAAGTGATGACTGACTCTACAAAGTAACATGAGTAAACTCTCTTAACTAAAGAATAAACACAAAATTTCAGACAACACATATCCTAAGAACATGTTTAAGGAATTCTCATAATCAACAGCCAAGAAAATTGTTTTCAGAATATGCCAGGACAAAGCTACATTATAAAGATTTTGACAAGAAGATTTTTTTAATGTCCAAATCTCAATCAAAGATTATAATATATACAAAATAGGACAATACAATACCACCAAAAATATAAAATTTTCTGAAAGAAACCATAAAAAAGATGTATACATTAATTTTAATATTTGGTAATAAACTGATTAAAATAGGAAGAGAGACAACTATGGAAAATTAGAAAAATGAGGATGAGAATAAAAAATATTTAAGATATCAAAAAACAGAAATTGTGGAGATAAAACATACACCAAAAAACTGACAGATCCTGAAAGTAAAAAAAAAAAAGATGTAAAAATAAAAAAGCTCAACAAACTAGAATAACAAAAAGATATTTATTACAAACACATACATGAGCACAATTTCAAAAGTCACAGACAAAAAGATTATCTTTGAAGCTGCAAGATAAAACTGATGTGCCAGGTCAGGCACGGTGACTCACACCTGTAATCCAGGCACTTTGGGAGGCTGAGGTGGGCTGATCACCTGAGGTCAGGAATTTGAGACCAACCTGACCAACATGGCGAAACCCCATCTCTACTAAAACTATAAAAATTAGCCAGGTGTGGTGGTGTATGCCTGTAACCCCAGCTACTCAGGAAGCTGAGGCTGGAGAACCACCTGAACCCCATAAGTGGAGATTGCAGTGAGCTCACGTCATCACACCACTACACTCCAGCCTGGCTGAGGGATACAGTGAGACTCTGTCTCCACAAAAAAAAAAAAAAAAAAAAAAAAAAAAAAAAAAAAAAAAAAAGAGATGTGCCATTTACAAACATACTCTTATGAGATAATCAGTGAACTGTTAACAAAAATTTTGCAGGCCATAAGGGAACTGTGTGATGCAGTCATGAAAAAATTGTGAAAAAAAAAATAGCTTCAATTAATTGAGAATAATACCATCAGTGAATCTGTCCTCCCAAATAAAAAAAGTAAACACCTTCCAAAGTAACCAAATTCTAAAAATGTATACTGGAAGTGCATATGCCCTACAGATAAAAGGTGCTGAAAACAGTTCATTCTACTGAAAATAACATGATTTTAAAAAAATAATAATAATATAAAAATACATGATTTTCTAGGAAAAAATATGCAAATACACAAAAGTAGAATTTCTTAGCATTACCCTAGTGGTGCAGAAAACATTTTTAATTATTCTCTGAAATTTGAAGGATAAAAGCATAGAAATCATCATAAATATTCATTAATGAATATACAATATAAAAAGATACCATTAACAACATCAATGACAAATTTGAGGGAAAGTGTAATAAGAACAAATTTTTGTATACAACTTAAGTTTATTTACCAGATTAAAATATGTTGCTGTATCTTTTAGAGGTTATATGTAATACTCCAAGGTACCACAAAAATATTTGTATAAATACACAAAACAAAATAAGTGAAAGCCTATCAATACAAATATCAAAAAGACACAAAGAAAGATGGAAAGAGAATAAAAGACAAAGACGCAAGAATCAAATACTTAATAAAGTAACAATCTATTTCAGAAAATTATTTAAATATATGTAAAATTAACTTTTAAATTGAGACATACTTTCAATAAATAGTTTTATTAAAATATTTTAAAGACCGAGATTCATCTTGCCTTTCTACAAGAGTCAGTTGAAATCTAATGATAAAAAAAGACTGGAAGAGGTAGGAAGAAAGTGGACATTCCATGAAAATATTAATCAAATGAGAGCAGAAACAGTCAAAATAATCTTACACAAGCTACATCTTAAGTGAAAAATTATAATATTTTATAAAATGTACTTGAAATGGAAACTCCAAAGAAACAAAGAAGGACATCAAAAAATAATAGATTTATTCACTGGGAACCTATGAAAAATTTGTGTGTGTGTGTGTGTGTGCATGTGTGTGTGTCTCACATTAGGGTTCCAAATATATAGAGCAAATATTGACAGAATGGAAGAAACACACAGAAAGCAATATAATTATAGCAAGATATTTTAATACCACACTTACTGTAATAAAAATAAAACAAGAAAGAATGTTAATAAGCAAACAGACTACTTAAAGGCAGTATAAAACAATTATTCCAGAGTTATGGAGAACACTCCTCAACAACATCAGAATACACACCCTTCTCAATAGCTCATACATTTTCCTTGATAAACCACATCTTAAGCCAAAAAGGAAGTCTTACCAAAATTTTTAAAAGTAAACTTCTATGAACTACTTTCTATGAGTAAAATGGAGTATGAGTATCCAACAATAAGAGAGAAAAACTGAAAAATTTACAAATATATAGAAATTAAACAATACACCCTTGAGTGTGCTTTTATACAAAGGCTGAAATAGTTAATATTGTGAAAAGGTCCATCCTGCTCAATGCAATCCACAGACTTAACGCAATGTTTTTCAAATTTCTCATTGCATTTTTGAAGAAACAGGAAGAG